TGTTTGCAGCACTGGATGTCTGTATCCAGCTGTAGGTTACAGCCCCTTTACTTTCCCCCCATGCGCTGGCAATACATCTGCAGCCTCCGTGCTTGTGTCCCAGCATCCCACAGCGTCAGCTTCCCCACGTTCTTTGATATGTTTGAGCGATTTGAGATATTGCCGTTCCACTGGTGTTCCTCACATTGAAGGAAGAAGAAAAACGCCTGTCAGTATGCTGTTGGCTTGCTTTTCTTGTTTCCTTTCTGGCAACCTAATGGTTTCATTTGGTAAAATAATGTGGGTTTGCAGATACAAAATTAGACCCCGCTGACCAGAAGGATTGGGAGACATGATACACGTTTTATTTTAAAATGCATTATTTAAAAAATGCTCGAAGCCTCCATGCATGAAAATGTTTGCCAGCTGTACCATGCAAACCCACTGTCTTCCATGTATATGTGACCTGTGGCATCCTGGAGAAGAAAACTTGACAAATATAGTGTGCTTCATACTGTCTGGGTACACTTTTAGCTGATGAAAGAGAGAGGAGTGGTCAATAAATGAATTTAGTTAGCTTGAAATGTAAAGGTGTTTTTTTTTCAGATTTCAATCAAAGCAAACTGTAAGCAAGTTCTTTACTAGTGTAGCTTTTAATTTGCTGCAGATATGGTTTTACTGACAGCTGCTGAATAGCTCGTTTTCAACTAACTGGATTGTGTTTCTGAGCAACAATTTACAGCAAGGTCAGAGATTATATTGGTGATTTTATAGTAATATTTATAGTTCACTGTGTGAGTGTTCATGCATCCATGTGTGCCTATAAGGGAAAAGACGCATACAAAGTCACAAGGTGTGCATCTGACGGTATTAATAGTAGGAAAACTGTTGCAACTCTTCCCTGCTGTCATCAGATGACGTAATGTGAAAATGAAAGAGAAATAACAACTTGCAAGTGTCAAGTTTTTGTAGTCTCTTTTTGTGTAAAGAATTTGTGGTGTTAGTGCGGACTCTGAAGGATATTCAGCAGACTGGAATGCAGCGGCTGCAGACAGCGAGACGTCCTGTGTATAGATTTATAAATGAGCTGCAGGAAAGGTGGAATGCTTTATAGGTGATGCCTGTGTTAATCCTTAAGTGTATGATGATCAGATCTCAGTGTGCATTTTGTTAAGGCAAAGAACAATTGAGAGGGGGGAAAAAAAAGAAGAAAATGTAGTAAATGCACATACACAATATCTTTTTTTTTAGAGTGCAGGCAGGTATGTAAAGCTGCTTCTGCTGTACGTAAAATGCCCTTATTTGTGTGAAACCTGACAGCCTTGTGGATTATGTTGGTGATCCAATACAACTCTAACAGTAATCTCCTAGCACCGTTACTGCGGTTAGTATACAATTACACTCATTTGGGTGCGTTTTTTTTGGTGCCAAACATTCAAAGCAGAATTGCAGGCTTTGTCAAGGCTCACTTTAACAAAAAGTCACTGTAGATGAAAACTGTTAGTTTTATTAATAAAGCAACATAGATTTTATATAGATATAGCTATACATAAATATATCTTATTTCTTAAATAGAGAAAAGGCTAGCTGTGTGTCTGCATATATGTTCATGTCGTATTTAGGAGTTGTGGGATTAATGGGTATTCCAGTATTTGCAAAGATTCAGTACCATAACTAGCATCGTAAGACAGTGATAATGTTTCTATCACTTTTGCTTCCCAACATTGGTGCTTAGACCTGGCAGACTGCAGGTTGTTACCACCACTGATGGTGATGTCTTCATGCTATCGTGGGTTCCCTTGTTTCTCCAAGTCCATAATCAGTTGTGAGTACATTCGATGGTGATTTCACATCTATCAGTAGTTTCAGTGGATGGAAAGAACCTAAGCTGTGGATATACTGCTATCTTTAGTTTCCTTAATGTTGCTGAAATACAAAATAATTTTATAAGGCATGCTGTTGGATAAAAATGGTTATTAGAATAATCATGCTATCAAGTAACCTGTCTTGTATGTAGACAGTTTGCCCTCTCCTTAATGTGTCTAATAGTCCATGTGCATTAGATACTGAGCATGTTAATATGTAATGGTTCTGGTATACGATAGGACATTTGTTTTTCTTATAGACTTAAATAATACAGAGATTGTGCATTCTCTGTGCACATGAAATACTGAAAAACCTTTTCATCCATCTGCTGGGTCTGAATGTTAAAGTTCTTTCAGCTGGAAATGCAAGATCTAGTCAGGCTACAGAAGCATATATAAACAATGTTCACAAATTTCAGCAGAGTTAAAGTGAATCTCAGCATCATTTGGACTGATCTTTTGGCTTATTTGGAAGATTACAATAAAACCTGAGATTGAATTCTCTACCTGATTCAGTTCCTTATTGATTGAATCCTTTTAGACTCCTCTGTAATTTAACAGTGTATTTTTATTAAAGCCAAGCATACAAACATCAATTATCCAAACTGCATCTAATTTCCTTCAACTTTTTTTTTCCTTTTGCTGCCAATGGATTAGAAGACCTGATTAGAATTCAGCTTGAAAGCTGAAAAGCAGATCCTTAAATGAGAATGTCTGCATCAGGAATTAAAATATCTGTACTGGGCATAAAATCCTCCTCTTTATCTCTAATAATGTAAACACGCTTGGTTAAGTTGATCTGTCGCATGCCTGGTGCAATGTCCCTGAATTAGTAGCGTGTATTAGAAAAGTGGATCAGTGTCCGTGGCTTGTCCTGCTGATAGAATACATCACTAGTATATTTTAACATCAAAGTGCTTTGCCTAGCTGTCTCATTACTACAAGGGTTAATGTGATAAGGGTTTGAAGGGCTCGATTTTTACTTTACGTATTTTCACCTCCTAACACTGAGAATGTTTGCATGTGCACAGGCAGCAGGAACGAGGCAGAGAAGGGGCCTTCTAAGGTTTCAATAGGTTCTACAAAGTTAAGGATTTTATAACAACGCAAAGGTGAAAAAAATAATTGCAATGGCATCACCGACGTAATATCCAGAAAACCTTAGACTTGGAAATGCATGTGTCATTAAAGTGTTGTCCCATGTCTGAACTATAAGAGAGTTACAAAAATTAATTAAATTGTATGTTTTGATTCAACTGGATTAATAATTTCCCTCTGATACCTAGTGTGCTCTGCCTGTGATGAGGAAGCCATGCCATGAGCCGTATGCAGGCTGTAACTGTGCAGGCTCTATGAACTGGAGCAGTTGGTGTCATGTGTACCGAATCACCGTACCTAATTTCAGAGGGAGAAATTTGGATATCAGGATTTTTAAGGGAGTTTATTATTAATTATTGTTCTATTTATATAGCGTTAAACTGGTTTTCTGCTTTGAAAATACACGCAAGAATTCTGTTTATAGTATCAGGATGCCCAGAAGAGTGAGCTAATCTTAACTGGATGACTCCACTGCAGATAGTAAGAGGAGAAAAATAGCAGGGGCAGGCAGCATCCTAGCACATCAGCGCTGGAAAACTAGATGAAAGAGTTGGTATCTAATACACTGTGTCCTGTATGGTCAGGTGGGAACTGTTGTGGCCACTTTTGGGCAACATCATGAGAAGTCTTGGAGGTGGGAGCAGCAGCAGGTGATGAGAGATGTCAACGAGGTAGTCCCATTGCCATCTTCATTTTATGATTGTTCTGCTAGCATTGGAGTTCTACAGAGCAATGTAAACACAGCATATGTTTACAGTAAGGGATGCTTTTGCTGTCCAGGGTACTGCTGAAGGATATCTGTGAGCTGATTTCATGTGGGAAGCAAAGTATTTGTTGAGATTTTTTTCTTTTTATTGCTGCATTGTGGATGGCAGTATTCCTAACAGTGGTGAGCTTTCAATCTGTGTGTGTGACTGCACATCACAGGAGTTAATTGGCACGTTTTGTCTGCAGAGAAATATTAAACCCGATTGTGCAGAGCTATAAACATGCGTGACTGCAGGGAATTTTGTCAGTGCTGGTATGAGTCTGGCTACCTGGAGGTGGGCAAAGTGAATCTGTTCATCTTGTGCAATGAGTTAAGCATAATTGCGATTGACATCATGCACAAGTGAAATCCAGTGATATTTCATTCCTTCAAACCTAATCCCCTCTTTATCTTGTCTTCTTTTGAGTCAACATGATTCTGGCAAAGCTTGTTTGTGACACCCAGTGAAGCTTATTGTAGAGTACCTCGAATGTTGTGGATTAGCCCCACTATGGAATTGAGAAACAGCATAGCTGCATCTGCGTGGTGTGTCCCTTGACTTAATAAGCCACAGTGGGAAGCCTGGGTTCAATATTATACTACCTTACAAGTGGAAAGAAACCATAATAATATCTTGCATGTATTAAGGTCTTGTATGTTGTGAAAGATAATTTAGTTGTGAATTGGGTGCAGGAATTTCAGTTTTCAGAACCTGACGAATAACAGTTTTTTGAGGTTATCAGTTAATCTGTTGTAATGAATGTTCTTCATGGCATGCCTCTTCTTCTTAATTAGAAGGGATTTTTACTTCTCTTTATCGAGTCAGGGCAAGTATATTACCTTTTCCTCTGTACTGCTCATGATAAAGTGTGTATCCAGATTGTTTTGTGAAGTGTCCATGTGAATATTTCACTGCATGTGCATCTGCACATTCATACACTGTGTCTTCTCTAATGATTTTTCAATACACTAAAAAAATCCAAAATACAATTGTTTAATCTCTTTTTATTTACACTTATCAATAGAAATTCCCCTTTTCTGTGTAATAATGTGTTTATGACATTAATTACCATGCCAGTTTAGACCAGGGCAATTAATCACTGCTACACACTACAGAAACAATAGACTCAGAATCAAGTTCTCTGAGTACAGAGGTGAAGCTGGTACCTTCTATAAATGAGAACCTGCCTGACAGAGGGGAATTTGGACCCTGGTTTGGATCTTTCAACCTGTGTTTATTTAAAAAACAAAATAAAACAAAAGGCAAATTTAAAAATCCACCTGTTTCCTATTCTGTTTCATTCCTACAGGTTGAAGCAATCCTTGTAAACATTTTTGGTGGGATTGTGAACTGTGCCATTATCGCCAATGGAATTACCAAAGCCTGCCGAGAGCTGGAGCTGAAGGTACCTCTGGTGGTCAGACTGGAAGGTGAGTGCTGATGGTTTCAGACAAAAATCATCCCTCAGGTGCGCAGTAATCCACTTTGGCTTTCTTCCATCTCAGAGCTCTAAACAGGTTAGTCCCACACAATAAGAATATGTCTAATTCTTCATCCATAGCGTGACCTGAAGTCAATAAACTCTTTCCTTACATATTTCTGTATCCCTGATCCCTTGTGGTACTCACAGCAATAACATTTTGCAATGAAAGCATTATGGTTTTGCTTCTAGGATTTGCAATGCAAATGGGAATTATTTTGATGAAAGTTTCTGTTTACTGGAAGGTATTTCTTTTTCAAATGATTTTTTGCTGAATGCAATTCCATTATTGCTAAACCTGCAGCAACATACAGTTTTCTTAAATTTACTCCAATATCATAATTAAAAGAAAGATGTTAGAAACAGTATTTTTGAGAGAGAGATTACTGTAACATATTCTTCTGCCCAAATATCCAGTCCAATTAAAATCCATTAAAAACCAGAAAATTTGGTAATGGTAAGGAATTACTTTTTTTTTTTTTTTAAACTACATCCAGCATTGTTAAATTGGAAACAAAAAGGTAATAGAGAGGTAAGGAAGAGGACTTTTTGGCAGTTACTGGCTTTAATGTAATGGCAGATTGAATTCTGTCTCTAATTTCTGAGAAGTACCTTGAAGGAGGAAGGGAGATTCTTCTTCTGCCATTGAATTAAAAAGTGCTTTGATTGTCATCAGCACCCAGCTCTGGTAATCTTAAAACATTTCTTTTTTGCTAAGTAAGTTTGGAAAATAGAGTTTTTTCTAGTTTTTTGTTTGGTTTGGGTTTTTTAAGGCCTGTTCCTCAAAAACATCAATATTCATGTTTGGGTGTGTATAAAGAGCATAAAATGTCCTATCACTCAGCGTTGGTGGTGAAAGGAGGAAATGCATCCCTTCATGTACCTGAGGTACAAAACAAAGGTGGTTTTTAACACTATGATAAAGGGCAGGGGGGAGAAAATGTTCTGAATACACCAGGCTTTTTCCTTTTCAAAAAAGAAAGTTACCAGGACTCATGAAGACACAGATTACTCCTTTGGTTAGAGGGGTCCTTGCTTTGCCTTTCATGAGAAAGCGGAGTTTTCCATCCCTCCTCCTCCTGCTACACTGCACATGATACGTAGTTCACGTCAGGTGAGACCACAGCCTGTGTCACATGCAATTTTGTCCTGTAAAAGTTCTGCTGTGCATTTCACTGCAGGGTTTGAACGCTTTCCAGAGCGTTTTCTTGGTTTAACATGGGTAGGCTTTTGTTCTGGTAAGTTCAGAAAAATGTAAATACTCTAAAATGGAAGATTTTGTTTGGATGATGCAGCACCACTGAACACCTTAAGAGAGTAAATAGATAGTTTAATATGGATGAAGGAAAGACTGATGGATGTTGGTTAGAAGCAGGAAAGTTTCATAATATAAAATCTCGTTGTTTATCAGCTCTAGGCAATGTTGTTTAGCTCTTTGTCATAGCTAAAAAACTTCTCCTGTCTGTCATAGCTGGGAAAAAGTTTATCTGTCAGATCTGCAAGACTTCTCATCTATTGTAGATGTTGTTTTTTAGGTGAAGATATTGGAAAAGCCGTTAGTTTTCCTTATGAACAAGATAGTTACAAGTCATTTCTATTGCAGTATTTGAAACCAGTATAAGAGAAACAAGAAAATCAACTCGCTCATTTTAAACTGCAGTCTGCTAGATCTGCCATTGGGTTTTCTTGGCCTTTCTCCAGTACTTTCAATACTTCCATGATTGTACACAAGTAAGGGTGAATATTTTTTTTTTTTAATGTGACTTCTGGGAGATTGCAAGAGGCAAAGCAGTCCTGGGCTGAACGAGGAGAGTCCTGGTGGTGCTACTGTACCGTGGAGTTTGTCTGGAAGAGGTGGTGTGGAGCAGGAGGGCTGCTGCACAAAGCCCTGCAGAGGCGACTGCATAGTGCCTGTTCCTCTTGTGCCTGCAACCTTTGAGAGCCGTGTGCTGCTTCATCCACAGAGACCGAAGCTGAATCCTCAGAACGTTAAACACACATTGTAATGCAAACATCTTTTGTTGGTCATCTTCCTATGATCCCTCACTCTTTACTAGGTTTGCAGTAATGCTTCTCCTAGACTAGCTGCTGACTCCAGAGATGACGATACTGCGTTTTCTTTAGGAAACCCTGTCCCAGTATAATATGGCAAACTATCTTTTTTGCATATCTCAAAAGTTTTTTTAATTCCTTCTCTTATTCTTAGTGTTGCCCATCAATTCATCCTAACCAAAGAGCTATGATGTTTACAGCCTTCAGAGGTTGTACTTGGAAACTGTTAGCTTGTAAGTCCTGCTTTCTCTGCCTCTTTAATCACCCAACCAAGCAATATATATATATATTTGGTTCTTTTAATCTTTCCTCAGAAATCAATCCCTCTGGATCCTTAATCATCTTCCTTGTTCTTCTTTGAACTAACTCACACCGGGTTATCTAAACATATAAGGATTTTGAATTAATAATGAGTACTATGGAAGTCATAAGGTTACCCAAGACTTTTTAAAACATCACTGATAATATTTTACAATTCAAAAGGAGAAAAAGGGACAAGCACTGGTTTGGATTTCCATTTTGAACATTTTTCCAACAGAAGGTTCATGATTATTCCCATAAATCTAACAGATTTGTGACCTGCACTTTAAAGACTCTTTGCTCGCATGCACTGTATTACAAATGTCTTGATGACTAGAGTTTTAATCAGTCAAATCTGTCTTGATTTAGCAGGATTCTGTGGACGAATCTTTGTTCTCAGTTGTATAATAATTACAAGCTGTTTTACCAGTGGATAAAGAAAGGATTACTCTCCTCTTTGAAAATGGTAACTTTATAATTACATGTATTTACTTGCCTTACTGATAAGGCAAGAACTCACCAGCTGAGACACAGGATTATTATTGTTTAAAAGGCTCATGAACAAATGGAGAAACCACATATTCCAAATTTTATCTTTTAGAGATGTAGAAAACTATCTTCTGCTGGTTTTATGCAGCATTTTTCCCCTTTAAAGTGTAATGAACTTCAATTAAGTTTTGTGAAATCTAACCAGGAGAGCTGAATGGAAGTCAAACCTTGTTTCTCATTTATGTCGCTCAGAGTTAGATGAAGAGAGGAAAGAATAAAAAAGAATTGTGAATTGGATGTCCTCTTCCTATGCTAGAAATTTTACATTCTCTTTCTTTCAACAAATTCATTCTGTGCTTCTCTGGTCATAGGACAAGGAGAATTGGGAGGATTTAGAACTGCTTAATATGTTGAAACGCTGCTAGAAGCAAGTTGGCTTTTATTCAAATGTCTGAATCCAAAATTTCCTATTATATTTTCAGCCACATGATTAGTCATCTGTGTTCTTCAGAATCGAATGATTTTTTTAACATATTCAGAAATCTTTTACACATAAGTGCAATTTTGCTCCAATTTGTATATCTTGCTCAAAAATATGATCTTGTATATATGCCTGTGATATTTTTTTTTTTTTTTTTGTATCCCAAATTGCCCATCAGGAGAGAACAATGAAGTATTTCAAAGTCACATTTAGAACTTTATTCTTATCAGCCTCTAAAGACATCTTCAAACTCATCCCTTATTCTCCAATACCTCGGTCTTTGAGACCTGAGAGGCTGTGAGTTCCTAGCCTCTGGGCTAGCAGAAATGACATCACCTGGATCCATGCCGAGGGGGGGGAAATTTGGCTCTTGATAGGCTCATCAGTGTAGCATATCAAAGTTGAACCATTGCTCTTGATAATGTAACATGGTCACAACGTGTTCACATCAATAATAATTTTCAGACAATCTGCATATTGTGAAATATTTTGTCATAGCAGAATGTTTTGGGTAGATCAGATTATTCTTTACGTTAGTCTTCTATTTGTTAGGGTATACCAAACATATACTCCCCTTATATCTTATTTGCTTGAAAGGCTAGAAATGGCATTGCAGAGTCTTGCATCCTCTCCAGCCATCAGCATTAAACCGATTTAGCCTGTTCCTAATGGTTTTATGACAGTGCAAGTGAATAAATGAACATTATCAAAATCCTATTGGAGTATGGTTGGGGGTGCTTTATTTATTTGTTTTCAGTCAACCTATGCAGGCCTCTTGACTCATTTGTAACAATGTGTGCTGGTATAATCTTACAATTTATAGAAACATGCTTAGATAGAATATTTATTACTACCATTTTTGGGTAATGAGTTGAATAGATTCGCTTCGCTAGTGACAGCAGAGATTTCAAGGCAATAGAAGTGTAAATGTGAGGGATTGCATGTACACAGACCAAGAGGTGGTTGCAAAACCCAGGTTTCAGAAGGGGAGGATATTTAGATTAAAGAGCCTGAAAGTATTTGCTGATAAAATTATATCTTTCCTGGTTTTCCATGGAGTGTCATCGACAGTAATATGTGTCAGAAGGAAACAACTTTTTTTTCATCAGAAAGCCGTTCCTCTATCAGGAGTCAAGTTAAAAAACAAACAAACAAAAAAACCCCCAAAAACAAAAAAAAAAACCCAAACCAAACAAATGAAGAACAAAACCTAAACAACACCCCACACACACATCCCCCCAGCAACAACCACCCAAGCCTGACAGCCTTCAGTCCTCTGAATTTTCTCCGTTTCTCAGTTGGCTGCAGTGTCGGTGAAGGGCAGGTTATTTTGAGAGCCTGTGTATGGGATTCTGTTTACAGTTCTCTGACACCATCCAGTGGCAGGAGGTTAATGTTAGAACAATGGGATTATTTAGTTGTTTATTTTAATGTCTGCTGCAATAAGCTTATACCCTTTGTAGATTCTTAAATGTTTCCAGTGTTTTCTGAACATTTAGTTTTAAAACTCTTACCTCTGCTCTTAGGAGGATCTCGTTATCATGTCTGTATGCTCCGTGTATCTGAAATACTTATCACAATGGGATAAAAAGCTATCATTAAAAAAAGAAAATTGCAGCAAAGGAAATCCTTGCTGAAAAATATGTTTAGTTGTATGGCCTGCCTATAAAACAGTTCTTTATTTAATAAATACAAAGTGTACCCTTACTTTTTTGACTGCAGTGGGGGTTTTTTCAGCTTTCATATTTTCATTTGTCTGCATAAACTCCCCCCTCCCTTCTTCGTGGGCTGTGTTTTGTATTGATTTTGTGATGCTTGTCAGACAAGTGGTGTGTAGAGCAATCAATGCAGCGCAGAATAAATCCAATGTATTGTTCCCACTCTGACCTGTTAGTAAATTAATACTGGCCACTTAGTGAAGAGCAAAAGTTAGTTTTAAATACTATGTGGCTATCACAAACAGCATAATATTTTGCTCTGTGGAAAAACTTCTAGGAAAATTTTTCTCTCTTTCCTTTTTTTTTTTCCCCTCCTTTGTCTTGTAAAATCCTATTTAAGAGATCGGTACAATCTTGACTGTTTTAAATGTTTATCACACCTGTATCTAAATAATAGATAAAACCTTCAAGACTTGATGGGAATCACTATACAAATGTGAGGAACTTAACAGAGAAGAGAACCTTTGTAATGCGTTCTGACTTCCCTGTACGGTTCTGTACTGGCAATTAGCAGCTTCCACGTTACATTATTATAGGATGGTTGAAAAAAAGAATCAAATATTATGCTCTTTTTTCCCCACAGTATTCTTTTTTTCTGTAGGAAAAGTCCTGTACAGTTCTGGATGTTACTATGCAACCAAATCCCCCTTCTGTCAGAGATTTCAGATGTCTTTGACCTTCCTACACAAGTCCCACAGTGTGTCTTCTGCATGTCGATGGGAAGCATGACCTCTTCTGCCAGGGCTTTTAAGCAGCTAGCAGATGGGGTCCCACGTTCCTCTTCCAGACACCTGCCTCTCCTATCGCAAAGTGCTGGGGCCTGCTGCGACAGAGATGTCTTTGGTCTCTCGGTGCCGGGAGTGGGAATCCTGACCTCAGCACACTGTTGAAAAAGACTTTTGAATTTCTCTGCTTCTGCTGTTACAATTTCAGACGTTTTGTAAAGTCTGCCAAAAAAAGCAAAATCACCCTTTAAAATAAGCATTCTGGAAAGAGTATGCTCCTTCCTTGGTTAATAATTAAGGATATAATTAGAGTATAGCTCCAAATATAATTAAAATTCATTTTGCTAGGCCTAGGAACTACAAAGTAATTAAGTATTTTGACATGGCAAATGAACAAGGAACTTGATGCAGAGGGGGGTAGAATTGATCCTGAAGAGGATCAGCTCAGGGTCTTGTGCTTGTGACTAGTGGTGTGATCCCAAAGAGTGGCTCCCACATCCTCAGTGGGATATCTGACTCCAAGTGCTTCTCTGGTGCAGAGCGTATCGGTGAGCAAAACTGTAACTTGGCTTTGCTGGAAAAAGCTCTGGAGAATTTGTGGTTTCTGTTTGTCTTTTGTTTTCCAACAAGAATCAGCTAAAGTAAATGGGAAGGTGATGCACTTGTCTCTTATACATGTGAAAAATATGCTTTCCTGAATTTTTTTTTTAAAATTTATGTTTTTTTTCCTTTACTATGCATGTAGTTGGCTGACTAAATTTGAGCTCTTTATGTATGAAAAGGAGCACTTGTACTGTATAGCCATACAGTCTCCTTTGACGTGGGATAATTTAGTGCAGCAGCAGTGGAGGGAACAGTGCCATGCTGAATGCTTCAGACACCTCTGTGTCCCCCTGTTTTAGCAGAAAAAAGCGTATTCAAGAGCAGCTCAAAATGAGTTAGATTTTTCAGGATTACCAAAATCTTTGTCTTTCAATAGCCCATTTTGCAGCTTTCAGATAACATGGGTGAATTTTGTTGTTTCAGAGTGCTAATTAGCTGTACCCGCTTGTTGTTAATAAATGTGTTAAATCTTCAGAGTGTCTTAAAGGCCTGATATGTGATCCATTATCCACTGCTCTTGCCGGATGTCCCGACTGACTCTGGTGGATGTTGGATTGACCCCCTAATCTTCTCAAAGCCCCTCTTGTAGATGCAAGTGCTATTACCAACTGCATTGTCTGTCAAAATTGTTATTGAAAATAAGAGTTCGTTCTTCTCAACTCAGTCTAAACCACTCATCGAATCTGTTAAAGTGAAATGATGTGAGGTTTGAAGCATTAACTGCTTTTATAGAGATTTAATAGAAGATGCTCATTTATTCATTAATATTAATTAGTAACTACAGTCAATGTTCTTATTTAAGGAACAAATGTTCACGAAGCCCAGCGTATTCTGAATGAAAGTGGACTCCCCATCACGTCTGCAAATGACCTTGAGGATGCAGCAAAGAAGGCGGTGGCTAGCGTGGCCAAAAAATGACAACTTGAAGATTATTCTCATGGAAAGTGTATGTGTTTCACAAGGTGTCATTCCTATCGTTATTTCAGAGAGGATTAGTGGAGTTTTTCTAAGCAGTCATCAGACTGGGTGGACTTAATTTGTGATACATGGCAAACTCAGGCCATAGGCTTGCAAGTCAGGCTTCAGAAATTTTGCAGCTACATTCTTGAAAAGTTTGGTCAAGTTTGTTACTAAGTTTGGTCATTTTGTTACTCAGAATTGTCGTAAGTAATACTTCACTTCATAAAGATCTGTTTCTTCTTTCCTTCCAAAATTGTCACTGATAAACTCATGATAAGATACAATAATTGCTAATTGACTTCTATAAACAGGATTGTTCTTTAATCAAACACATGTAGTTCGCCTAATTCACAATGTTTTCATTCATTTTTCTTATATTGTAAAGAGTCAGCAAACTAATAATGGGTTTATATTTTTTATGGACTTTTACAATAATGTAATAAACTGTGCTTACAATATCTATTTTTATTCAAATGAATAATGTTTATTTTCTTTTTTTAGAAATCACACATTTTGCCTTAAGATGATTTTCTTTTGTAGATGCCAAAGTATACCTCACAATAAGAAAAGGGATCGAACAATTGGGAGTGAAAGGACCTTCCATTCTTATACTGTGCCTATAAGCCAGCAAAATGTGATTCATTTTATTTTCTAGTTTTTGGAAATGAGGTGCAGTATTTCTAGGTGTGACAGTGCCATACATAGAGCTTGAGGAGGACGGGTCTGCCACTAAGAAAATGGCTGCTAACTTTTTTAAATAACCTCTTTCATAAGTATGTCACTGCTGTGAGGTTTTAAAATAAGATGAGAACCTGAAGCAGTTTTCTGTCAGGAGCAATTCTTCAATTGATTTAACTTCCAAAAACTATTTCTGATTTATTGGGAATAAAGCACAAATGAACTTTTCCATTTTTAAAGTATTTGATTTCTCAGGCATCACTAAAAATACAAGAAAAAAGAAAAAAAAAAAGTAAGTTTCAGTACTCAGATATTGCCCAAGATTTATTTTGATTATATATTCTTTTGTAACAGTCAAAATTCAAGCTGTTAGTTACACAAATCATTCATTCAGGGAACAGAAGACAATACCAAATGGCTTGTGTAACTAAAGAACTCAGTACAAATCTCACTCAGCGCAGGAATTACATGCTGAAAATCATCAATAAATTTGAACAGTGAACAAATGAGTGGATATTATGATCTGGTCTTGTAAATGGGCAGAGAGGTAAAAATTTGTCTAATAAATTCTTAATTGTGATTTTTGTGTGGCTCTAATCAATACCATGTTCTACTTAGAAAAATGTAAATAAATTTTTCTTGACATTTCCATTAAAACTGTTACATTAAAAATAAATTATCTGCACTAATCTCTGGCTCTTGACACAAATAGTGTAGATAGGTTGCTATCATCAATTACTGTAGGATTTTCTTCTCCATTCCTTTCTCTACATATTGCTCAAGGAAAAAATGTATGACCATTAGTATAGCAATAAATATGCCACTAGGTATGTACTTATTGACTGAATGAAGAAGGGTGTCGTTAGCCGTTCTCATGAAGGTGCATAGAAGCACACTGCTTTGAAGGAAGAAATGTTTACCTCACCACAATAAATAAATCACACTCTATATATTTTAATACCGGAAATAGAAGCATTCTGTGGAAGAACTGTTTATGCAATGTTGTCGCACACTGTGTATCTAACTTCTGGTCTCAAAACAATTTTATGTGTACGTGATTATTAATCTGCAAAGATTAACACTATGTATACCGTTTTGTCAAATAAATGTAAAAGTGAACCCATTTAATGACTTTGCGCTTTCTGGAAAATAGAAAATTGTTTAATTTGTCTATTGTTTTCTGTGTTCTTCTATTCAGCATTTTGTTACAGGTAGGTGAAATCAAATGCATAGGAATTTAGTTTCAATTGGGTAATATTGGCATACTCTCATATACGTGCTTTTTAACTAAAAAAGTAATTTTTTTCATCTCTCTCTATATATATCTTTTCTCATACAGGCTAATGACAGTACATACAAGTTTTACTCCTCTTAAGCCATATGTAGATTAGAACCATATCATTTTTTTTTAATTGTCAGATGTCATATGGAAAATTTCATAAGCTCTGGATTTGTATTTTTGAAAGTTTGGTGTTCCAGTTGTGCCAGGGCACTGTTCACTTTCTGTAACCAGTGTCACTTTCTGTGTTCAGCTTGGCGTGGCGTTGTGGACTGGTTTGGTTTGACTTGCATGGGTCATTTCTCTGTGTATGGAAATGTGTACAGTTAGTTTTGGTCTCCCTTGTAAAGGTGTTTCAGTTACACTTCCTGTGATTTTTAACTGTTACAAATTGCAAGTAAATGCAATGCCTAGAAGAGATGCTTTTGCCTTTGCTGAAGCACGCAGTTGCAACCTGGCAAGAGTGCAGTTTGCTGTCCTCAGCAGCCCCCCTCAGCGGGGCTGGATGCAAGCTGCGCTCCAGCCAGCCTTGCTATAGCTTAAACCCAAAAGGCACAGACGTGAGAATGTGTACACACACACGCACCCCCCGCAGAAAGCCAACGGTGGTGTAAGCAGTAGGTAAGTTCCAGTTAATCCCCTTTGTGAAAGTTTTAAGTGGGATTTACGTAGCCCTTAAATCTTGACATTTCAGTCTTTATTAATAAAGCTCTGTAGGATTGGGCACTTAGAAGGCAAAACAGGAGGAAACTTAATGCTGACATTGTGTTACATCTTTAACAAGATACCTTTAAATTCTCACGGCAAAAGTGTAACAGCTGGGAGTTCTGGAGTAACATCCTTAACGTGCATTTACTATCCTATTTGTCAGGCCTGTTCTTCCCTACATCCGGAAGAGCAGCTGGTATCATGCAAAACTGCTGTGATTGGAACGGCATGTCAGTGCAAACCCGTCACCAGATGAGATCCCGAGCAGGGCCGTCCCTTGGCGGTGGAGTCCGCTTCCCAGTGAAGAGCAGAGCTCTGCTGCTTGCCTCTTCCTCCATGGTGAGCCTTGCCTGCTGGCCTGGGGCATTGGCAGACCTGGGCACCTAGGATAACCACTGGGTATTATGTGTCAGGTTGGCCCGGATGGCGCCCCTGTGCTGAGACCTGAGCACGGTGCATGCTGAGTGTGCTAAGAGTGGCCCGAAACACGGGTCTGAGCAGCCTCGATGGGCTAGAAGAGCCGGGAAGTCTGTGTGCGTAAGGCCAGGTGCTGGCAAAGCCACATCCTATCATAAAAGCTGTCAATTTAGTTACAGAAATCTAAAAACCTCCTAGGCTTTAGTGCTTTATTAGACGACATGTAAAATGATAGTACTAGATGCTGCTGTAAGCCTCTGAACTGATTGAGAGGTTTCATGCCTTGTTGTTCTTTTGGCTGTCTTTCAGAAAATTGGAGTTTCTTTTGAAGTCAAGGTCAGCTCTAGTAAGGGGCGAGTGGGGGAAAGCAGGTCATTGCATGTTTTATCATCTCAGATTCTTTCCCCTTCTACTAATCTTCCTGCTATTTTTCCCCACTTTTCCACCCACATAGCTCCCTCCCTGTGCTTCCTCACTGCTTACATTGTCGTCCTCAAAACTGGTCGAGTCTTCACTGCTGGGTTTTGCTAGGATTGCATGGTTGAGCCGGCTGGTCTGGAGCTGGATGCTTTGTGTGAGCATCTGGTCACCTGCCTGGGAACTGGGGGTGCTCTGGTCAGCCCATCTGCCAGCACCAGCCTGACACCATGCTACCAGAGGCATCAGCAACCAGGTGCCACTGGTGTACACCAGCCCAAAAGCTGTCCTGGAGTCCTCTCAATGCCTCTTCCCTCCCTGTCTGTTGCTGTCCTGGGAGGCTAAGACCTCGACCTCCTGCGTTCTCCACTTGCTTCTATACAACAGGAATAAATGCAGGAGCAGAAATGGGCTGAACAGCAGTTTGACTTTCCTGCTTGGGAGTGCTGGGCTCTGAAATGGGGCCATGTTTCAGAAAAGTTGTAGACAGGTATGTTCGTAAGAGATAAGAGGAGTGAAAAGCATGGGGAAGCTTGACACGCATGTAAAGGGCTGCTTCAAAGAGAGAAAAAATGCTCTTCTTCAAGGAGAAATAGTCTTCCTCAAGTCCAGCGTGGACAGCACAAGCAGTGAGGAGCTTTGACTGTGCTGAGGGACGTTGAGGTCAGAGTTGTAGCCATGAGGTAAGCCAAGGAACAGGCTGTGGAATCATCAGTGGGTGTTTTTTAGAGCTAGATGAGCATGTGTCAGGGATGGCTTAAGAAGAGTTGATTTTTGCCTCAGGGCAGAGGGATGGATGAGGTGACCTTCCTGCCTGATCCAATAGGATTTAATGCTTGCTGGTAAGGTTTTGTTTTCTTATTTTCTTCCTAACTTGTAGGTACAGGGAGGAAAAAGGAAGACAGATCTGGTGGATTCTTGAAAGAAACTGTTTTTAATTCAGTCACCACGAATGATCTGCAGCTGCCAGGGAAATGAAAAGCAGATTATGCAAACTCAAGACTTTCCCTAACAATGGGAGCAGTGTTATTGCAATGCATGAAAGCCAGAGCAGAGAATTAGGGGTATCTATCAACTTTAATATGTTTAATTTTAAAAGGAACAGGTTGCACCAACAATTTTTTTTTTTACTTAATGAAGCCCATTCATAAGTAGAATAACAGGATTTGCCTGTCACCCAGAGGAAATCTTGCTATGTGTATTTGTACTTTGGTGCAAAACTTGTGTTGATCACAGTGATTTAAAACTTTTTCCAGCCCAGCTGCAGTCATTTTGATGTCAGGATCCTTTCATCCGGAGGCAGATGCACCCTTGGCAGAATCCTGAACACGTCTGTGTCTTTGTTCAGCCTCACAAAGTACCAGCTAAAGATTAAAAATATAAGTATAGATGGATTATTGCATGTTAGTCCTCAGAGAAAACCACTAGGAGATAAGACTTGACTTATCCAAGACCTGGTAGCCCCCTCCTGCAGACTGCTGACGGATCTTTAGTGCATCTGTGAATCTGGCCTTTTGCATTTCCCTATTCTGCCCATGTATGTGGGTGCTGAGCTGTGTAGGCACAGTAATAGTAGAACATTGCATAGCATATAGTGCTCCCCATTTCTTGGGGCCATTCCTTTTCTATAGGACTTAGAGCATTGAAGAGGGAAAAGGTTTTCTGCGTATCTTGGATCTAACGCCAAAGCTGGAGGCAGGACTCACCTTCATTCGGGTGTGTGGATAGACGCAGGCTGCTTCCGATGAGCTACCCTTTCCACGTGCTGTTTATGTGCCTTGATGGGCA